TTTCAGCTGATGTCAGCAGGAGGCCCCCACGTACTCAACGCCATCTAACTTGTTGGATTGCAAAGTCATAGCCTGAATTTCCACAGAGAGATGGTGAGAAAATTAATTGAGGTTTCTTTTGTGGGTGGAAAAGTTCACACTTCTCAGCAACAGAGCAACAACACAAAATCTAAGTGCCCTAATTCACAAATTCTGCTGGAGTTTCTCACACAGTGCTTCCATGCTTTCTTCCTCTCTGAGGATCAGACATTTCTCTGAATGCACCAGAGTCCCTCTATGCTGCATCCTTCTGGTGCAGTAGGAGAGACTCATGGCTACAATGCACTGTGAAAGACGTAATCCGGCCAAAGACTGCAACCTATAGAAAAGGACAGAATCATGAGATATCCAGACTAAATCACTCTGAAGTTCAGGTTCTTCATGTGAAGTTCATGCTTTCTAAGGAAACTTGGTTTCATGAACAACTCCTTTCCATCCAAATGAATTTACTAATGGGAAAATTTCAGCTAAATTTTTAAACTTTTAGCCCTAAAATCACAATTCAAGTTGTTGACTAAAACACAACTTAGTCTCTTTGAAAAGCGAAAGAGCATGGTATATGTTGCAGTGCCATTTTGTCACCCCTCTGGAACGTAGATCCCTCTGGAAACTACAGAACTGACAATTTTAGCAATTTGACAACCAGCAGTGTTTGTAGGCACAACAACCAGTTTGCTCAGAATCTGAGCAACTGCTTCCTGAACCTTATCATCACACCACGTACTAAAAATGGAAAGGAGAGGGGCTCTTGCAGAAGGCCAGAGGAAAGCGGAAACCAGACTCTGAGGGCTGCTAGAGACCAGAGGGGAAGCAGGCATAAACTGCCCCAGAGAAAAGAGAAGCTTGACACTATTTCCGTCTGGAGCAGGAAACTGCTCTTCTGTGCAGTTGCAACAACTTTTGAAGTTGCAATAACAAAGCAGGAACTGGCAGGAATATGGAAAGGGAGAAGAAACAACCCTCTGACCCCTGTCATGCTTGAGTTGCTGATAAACAACTCCAGGTGCCACCTTTTCACCCCTGACGGACCATGCAACTGCAGAGACCGGTTTAGTGACGTGGAGGAGAAAATCCAGCACAGAGGAACAGAGCCACGTGTGAGAAGCGGCAGTGACTTTCATCTCTCTTCTTTAGCTAGTTCAATTTATCAAATCTTAAGATTTGAGAGCTCCTTTTGGACAACAAGGATAACCCCAGTGCTGGAGAGACAGGCTTATTTGGAGCCCCCAGCCCCTCCCGGCTCTTTCAGTCATTTCATGCTTTCCTGTAAACAAATAGGTTTTGGTCACCCATGCTTGTTCCCTGCAGGCTGCTACAGGTGTGGAAGACCACTGTAAAAACAGAGTCAAACTGTGAGCTAACACTCTATTGACAGATTAGGACAGCCTCATAACAGACACTCTTGACTCAAGTTTCACTGCAGCATCAAAGTAAAATTCTCCCAAACTGTTATTTTCAATTCAGTGAGAAGTTTATCTCAAAATACAAGCTTAGAAACAGAACTCAATTCCCAAGTCTATATTTTGTCATGACTAGCTTTATCTAAACTGAGGAGTCTACGGCTGCTTCTGCGTGTGCCATAGTCACGACTGGCTACACCCCCACGCCATCTCTGGTTTCCCCAGAAAAGGAAATAGGATGCACGGGCCAGCTGGGAAACCACCGTAGGGACCAAACATTTGCCTGAATCAGGCCTTGAGGCTTTGCCATAGTGTATATCCTTGGGTTAAGAAGAGATGTAGCCAAACTGGCCAAATTTTTCATCTCCAGCCACGGTTTGGGAAACCTCTGAACATACCTTTCATTGCAGCAGCTTCAGCAGCAGTCAAGCTGTCGGTTGTTGCTGACAGCTGTCACCAGAGAGTGACACGATGACAAGCCTCCAAAAGTCCCAAAGAGTTTAAGGGAAGATGATTCCTGAGGGCCAGCAAGGAAGAAGGCGGAAGTAGAGGGAAAGCAGTTGTGTTTGTGCAAGAGTTTTGGCAGCTTCACGCTGAGAAAGGGACACTGTGGGAACCTGTAAGAACCATGTTCATGTCAATCATCAGCCGTAGGGCTCCCTTGGCCTCCCGCTCTGCTAACATCGCCCAGAGAGGGAGATGTGTTCCTGGGTTAGAAAAATCATATGATGGTGGACCCAGCATGAAATATCAGCCACACAATTTTATTTAAATTTTACACTTTTCATTCCACTTCAGGATTCAGTTTCCAAGAGAGCCTCACCAAGCCACCCTGTAATACAAACAAACTAAAAAACATCATCATCATAAAGTGCCCATCACAGCTGAGCAAGGAATGGAGATGTGCAGAGCCTGGAAAGAGCAGCTGTGGTAGGGCTTCAGTGTTGAATGAGTACTGACTACCCACCCTTTGGTGAACTTGCTTTCCTTGAACTCCCTCCTTGGCTCTTTTTCCACACAGTAGGTTTTAGCCACATTTAGGCTGTCTACTGAATGTGGTTCAGATTAAAGGGGCAGGAAAGACAGAAGCAGTGATTAAACACAGGGCATGGGAGCTTTCAGCACATCTTGGAGAGTTTCAAAGAAACATGCAATTTGATTTTCATAGCAATTGCATAGTTTTATTGTTCTTCACTATACAGTCAGCATCTCATTAAAACTACAACTGGTTACCCACTGCCTTCTATCTCCTGACAGATCCTCAGCAAGATTTTGCTTTCAGCATTGACCGATGTTCTGATGTCGCAACCCACACCTTTAACATCAGAGCTGCCATAATCCTGAGTAAGTGAATTGCTATTTCCTCATGCCATAAACAAGGTAACCCACTGCATGAGTGCTGGTATTCAGAAGTAAGCAGGCATGTCTGAACCTCTGACAACATATGAATAGGCTTCATTTCTGAGAAATTTCAAAACCAGGGGTGTCGTGTGGGACCAGAGAAATGTCAGTTCTGTTCTCATCTCTGCCTCAAACCTTTTACATGACCACCTTGGGCAGCTCATGTCTGCTCTCTGGGCCCTCGCTCCCCTCCTACCCTTTGTCTAGACATATGGATATAAGCTTGCCAAGGTGTCAGCTGCTATAGAGCTTGTCTCCATGTCTAAGTTGTCTTGAAATAGTCTGAGTGAGACAGCTACAGCATCCAGGCTTTTGTGCCCGCTTGGCAGTGCTCTCCAAATCTCCACGGCTGACCCTCCCAGGTGAGAGACCAAAGTGAACTGCTGCTGGGACTCTGGGGGAGCAAGGTGGGAGAACCTCTGCACCCTTCCTGGGCACATAGGGACCGCTGCTGGGAAGCACCGGGGAGTCAGAGCGTCAGAGAGCACTAGCCCGAGGCAACACACTGCCATGCCATCCGCTCACCAGGTGGGCTGTCTGAAGTTATACTCTGCAGTGCTTGACTGATCGACGTAAGAAGGTCAAAGCAGAACTGCACTTGAGTTAAGGGGCTGGGTGCACAAGTAAATGTAAGGTACAGCTTGACTTGTGACCCTAGCCTTGCATGGACAAGCAACACTTTTTGCCACACTGTAGGCCCCAGTCTCACCTGGAGCTTCTAAATACTCCTAGAATATAAATACGAGATTTGGCTCAAGCTGCTGCATGCTCCCTGTGCTGAAAATGTGTTTGTGTGCCACCCTCTCACAGCCCTGGGAATGCTTCCTTGTACGTAGGGGGCTCTCAGCAGGGAGAGCCGGGGAGGTGCTGCCCTTTGCCCGGGAGCACTGGTTTTCAGGGGGCTGCAAAGTGAAACAGGCCTGCGAATCAATGATGGGCGTTTGAAAATCCCTTTCCACCAGCTCAGATCACAGGGGCTCCCCTCTAAATCCATTAGCCTCACTAGCCGTTTCAATACTAGCATGCCAAACAGGTCCGGGGCACCGGTGCAAGCAGGTGAGCTCCCAGCACTGCTTTGGCTGGTCCCCGGCAGTTTTGGCTCGGGCCAGCTAGCGCTCTCCCAGGCAGCAGGCACAGGCAGCGGGCTGTTCCCACTAGGGCAGACCAGATACGGCCACTCTGCTGGGGGACAGGAGGGAAGAAAGATAGTTTAGGTGTATGGACACAAGCCTCATTTTGCCAGTTGTCCTCAGGGTCATGGAATGGCCACTGGTGTAGTTTATTTAACAATAAAGATATAGCTATTACGTCTCTTGTATTTACCTTGGGAGACTTACAGACCTGTTTCTGAAGCACAGATTTCTACATATCAGGAGTTCTCAGTGAAGAGAATAAATACAATTCCTTAAGCACTAGAGGAAAAAAATTTTTAATCTTTTTAAAAATAAAATAAACTCATTTACCTTTGTACTTTCCCTGAGCTCTCCTCCCGTTTTGTGCATAGGACACAGCACCAAGGAACTGTATGTGAAGATGAACCTGATCATAAATGGGAAGACCGTTTTAAGCTACTCGGAGTCACTCTGTGAGCCGGATAACCCTGAGCTTATTTTATGTGGAAAGAAGAAAGGAGGTAATTTAGGTAGCCCTCTAAATGTTTGATGGCTACTAAGCGATGCAAGCAGGATATGCCTGCTGTGCTGCTGAATGTACCAACACAACATAAAGTTCTGTTTATTTCAACGGTATGTTAATGGATGACAGAAACACAGTGGAACAGAGACATTTTAATTTTAGAGCCTTCTTTTTCCTTAATATGTTTGCTCACTTTTCTTTTAATCACAGAGTACCGCACACACATTGGTTTTCAAGTCCATAAGAAATACTGTAGTAATGTTACCCCATCCCACAGCACAGAGAGGTTCATAAGCCCTATTTATATCTATGACTGTCACACGACCAAAGAATATTGCAGAACTGGCCTTTATTTTTGTCAAAGGAAGGGCTGCACAAACAAGTCCTGAGCATGCTTTTTTCTTATTAAGCAAGTAATGCTTCCTGTCCTTCAAGGCAGTTCTTAACTCACTTTAAGAGGAACTATGCCTGAATAAGGATATTTGGACCAACGTACTGTTTGATACCATCTATGGTTTCTGTCTTGTTTCAGCTCAACCCTTGTCTATGCTGCAATCACAAGGTGTGATTTAAGTTCATGCCCATCAACCCAAGGCAGCCTAGTCATTTTAAAGTAGCATTGGCTGCCCCCACAAAGTATGCACCCTTTGTCCCAGGTGGGCCTGGGCACCCTGAGGTCCCCACTGCCACAACCACCTCAATATCTGATCCAAGCCAGGTGGTAAAAAGCTAGCCACAGTGTCTCCAGAAGAGCTGCAGGCATGCCTCTGGACTATAACATCAACAGATCTTAAACGGCCACTGTGAAGTCTCTCTTCTTCCTTATATTTATTATAACCATCTCTTTTGGCTGGTTTTAAAATAAACGGGTAGAGGTGCAGGGAAGCTTTTCACAGAGTTGTTAGAGAGCCAGCTAGTTTCAGAAGCTCTACTTCCTTTTCATTCACTTGCATCTCCACCATGATACCGCTGTAATAATTCACGTACAAGGGCTACAGGCCTGATAGCACTGCTGCTAAGACAGGCCCTGGAAAATCACTACGACATTTCACACAGCATGGAAATATCACAAAGAATAATAAAAAAAATGCTGCATGAGCAAGCAATTATGTAAATCCCGTAAGCCAGATAGACAGAAAAATTAAATTTAAAGGCTTCTTCAGTTGTGTATTGAATTATAAGGAAAAAACAAAAAAAAACAAAAAAACACCCACAGACCTACTGAAAAACTGTCTTATTCTGATGAAGTACTTAATAACACCCTTTAGAGAATACATTAAGGAGAAGTGGAGCCAGTCCTGAGCCGAGCGCAAACTGCTATTCACACATTATGCCACAAAGCCAAATTCTCCTGGGGTTTCCAAATCCTTAATCTTGTACTGGCAGGGGATTGTTTTTACTAATTGAAGTACATCATGATATATAACCATAGCTGGGTGTTTAAAAGGGCCATAGGTCTTCATTAGAAGCATCCTTAAGTTAGCGTGAGGACCTCCGCCACACACTTTTTAAAACATGCCATCTTGCTCAATAACTATTTTTATTTAGTAATTAAGTCACAGGGGGAAAGTGAAGTTTTTCAAACCGCTTGGGTTCAAACTGAAACTATGCTATTTTTGAATTAGTTGACATTTTATTTTAATCTACGTTATAGGACAATGAAGTAAACTGAAAAGCAATTTGAGCCAATTCAGCGCAGCCATGTTTTGAACATAATAGCATGGCTGTAAATGTGACCTAAAATATAAACAGAAAGGACAACATTGCGAATGGTCAAGTATGCAGCCCAGCAAAGGTGAAGAAGAGTAGATAGCCCTTTCAGCTGAAGCTTTTCATGCAGAGCCCCATTTTCCCTGCTGTACAGCCAACATTTCCAACGGAGATCTGACCTGAGTTTAAATATAGTTCTACACAGAATTTGTTGGCCACCACAAGAAAGACAAAAATGGCGCATCCCTCCCTCTCCTGAAATGACACAGAGTGTAGTTCTGCTGCAGACTTTATTAGTCCCCTTGTGCTGACAAGCAGAGCAGAAGTTACAAGAAAAGAGATTTATAAGAGCTGGATGTTGAATTTTTTTATTTTTCTCTGCCATTCTATAATGCTACAACTTTGCCATGACTGGAAAAACTTTAGAACTAATAGCTGGATATTTCCCTAAAGTAGTTACTATTATTTTAAGCAAAGTTCTCATCTGGCACAGCTCATTAGGGCTTTTAAACAGGATTCCAAGACCTTTTTTTTTGAGATATAACCCTGTTCTGAAGTTGCAAGCTCAAAAGTTGCAAGGAAGTGGGCCATTTCCCATTTAAGAACAACAACAAGAAAAACAGCTAAAACCTTTGTAGTATAACTTGACCTTAGCTCTTCTGCTTTTTTAGTAGGAAGAGCTGGTTACTCCACATTTCCTCCAAAGAATATAGTTGCATAAGATTTAACAGATTTCCAATGCAATCACAAAAATCAGAGAAGTATTCCTAGTATGGTAATATTAAGCAATGTGCTAACCACAACTTGCAGACGTAAACCTTCCTACTGAAAGATACTCAGATAGTCTGCAAGTCCACAAGTTTTCTCTCAGCCCCAGTTGATAGAGGCATCATCAGAGGACTTGCGCAGTTCCTTGGGTGCGCTGTTGAACTAAACAAAAAAAACCACCCCTAACTCTGGACTGCCATTTTTTACATTACATTATTGCCTCTTTTGGTTAGGTGGTGCAGTATGCATGTTTCTAAAATGGTACTTGCAAATAAAACTAGAGAATAGGGCATTAATTACAGAACCGGGTATCACTTTGAGACGAAGCAATGTTTGTGAGGAAGCAACTACACTACAAAGTTAGGTCCTGGACTGATACACACTGCTTAGCCCCTTCAGCTCACTTTTTCCTCCCCAGTAAAGAAAGTGCATGTTTCTCATCCAGCTATATATTTATATAGATTTTTCTCACTCGAATATATATCTACAGCTGGCAGTTATTCAGATCATTCCTGCATCCCTAAAATTCACAAAAGTTTTGTGTCAGAGTTGCATGGGTGCAAGATCCTGTCCTAGAAGAACTCCAACATGGAGCATTTAAGTTCTAAAAAGATTTAAAACATAGAAAAAGGAAGAGGTGGATGCAGATGTACAGGGCCTTTATATAGTACAAGAGTGTGAGATTTTCAGTGTAAGGAAGATCTGAGAAAGAGGAGTGAGAACTTCATTATAGGTGTTTTGCCGGGAATGAGAGGGATTTTCATGCTAAATGATAACTAGTAACTTGAAGTAATTCTCAGGAAGTTCTTACTCACACATTTGAAAGCTCTCCTTCAGACTGGAAGCTTCTAGGGGCCCATTCAGTGGCAAGGAAAAGGACCAAGTTACTTTTAGTAAGAAATAATAGTGAAAATCTGCTCCAAAAAATACAATGATATCACCTCCAATCAGCAGTACATTGGAAATGTTTTCCAGGATGTTCTACAGAAATCACCTTCAGTTAAGTCTTTAAGAAAAAGCGCTGAACAGGGAAGTTAGGCTAACACACCACTGATTACAGCACGCTGACAAATGCTATAACTTGCAAGCATACAAATAAAGACACAGGAGACTTCTTATTTAGAAAAAATGCAGTCCTGATTTAGGCTGCGCCGCATAATATAAATATATAAATATATACAGTCACATTTTTGCAGCTATAAAAGAATCCGAGTTTGGCAGAAAATGCTCTAAAAAGACCATACAATTCATTCAATGAGCTAGTCTCAGTGTTTGTGATAGTTACAGTTACTGCAACAGATGTGTTCATCCTCTTTCAATGGAGAAATGCAAAAACATGTGACTGTATGAAGGATACTGTGATAAATTACAGTCCTTAAAGCCTGAAGTATGTGTACACGTCTGGAGTTACAGCACAAAGCTTTATTTGAGAGGAATACTGAACGGACTTTAAAGAGCCTCATCCAGCCAACGTCCACACTAAGAACACTGCTACAGTCAGACATGAGCACAGACAATAACATTCAGCAGACCTATTGATTTATGTTATTTCCTAGCAGGCCTCAACTAGCTGAAAATTAAAGCTGCTTTTCTTTTTGTAGGACAGGTACTTTCTAAGGAGAACAATCCTTTTTCCCATGCTAGAAGCAAGGAGAGTCACATGGGTTTTCTAAAGGCCTGACTGATAATTGTAAACCACTGCAAGATCCCTGATTAGAAAGTGCTATGCAAGGGCAATTCTGAGGCACAAAGCCCTAAATGTGGAACTCAAACTGGACCCACAGCACCCAGCTCCACAGTTTCTGAAGCTCCCCAAAAGACAGTACAGCCCAGGAGCGTGGACCAACTGAGCAAGTGTGTAGCCACCCATATAGGAGCAATCACAGAGAACCTCTAACAGAGAGGGATCAGGCAGAGCCCTAGATCACACTGCACTAGCTCTGATGCGATCATTACTTTGTCACAGCAAAGTGGGGAAAAAACAGCTTCCACTTTCACTAAAGGAGAGATTAGCATCTCCATAATTTCAGAAACAAATGTATGGCCTGATGATACTTACTTTTTTTTCAAAATGTAGGCTTTTCATAGCTTGGATGCTGCTTCTTTACATTTAGATTCTGGGACGCTTTCTGATGGCCTTGGTAGGACCCTAATGAGCCACATGAGCCAAGAGGAATTTCCATGTCCCACTGGAAAAGGATTTCAGGAGAAGGAATGGCTGTTCAGTTGCCCCTCCACTGTCCTGTGCTATTGTCCAGGACTTGTTGGGCTCAGAGCTAACTGTGGGAAATGCTGCCTTCCTCCCTCTCAAACAAGGCCTATTTTAGGCCTTCTACTGAAAGAGAGCGCATACAAACCATGAGCAATTGCACTACGCTGACCACACAACTACTCTGATGTGGCAGCTCACGATAAGCCTTAGCACATATCAGCACATCTACAGGCAAAGTCTCAGGGGAGCTGCTCATCACACAAGTCGTGCAGTCTGCAATGTCTTCAGCTCCCATTTAGGCTCTAGTAAGTTGTGAACTGAGAAGTAGGTTGTGCTGTATTTTTAAAATCTTGAGTCACCGCTCTGCAGCAGAGATGTGTCAGACTCTAGGACTCCTGCTTCGTGCAAAGAAGTAAACAGCGATGGCAACCACTCTTTGAAAAGGAAAAGACTTTCTGTGGTCCAAGCAAAGCAGCCAGGGAAGCAGAGAGTAAAGGAGACAGAGCTTCCGCTGAGTGCTGTAGTTAATCAATTTGAGAGTAACAAGCCAGAATATACTGATTCTAGCCTCGGCTCTAGTAAAAGTTTTTTCAGGGGGACACTCGGAAGTCATGCAACTGCCCCGCCTCCCAGGATCATCAGGGCGTGACCTTTAACAAACTCCTCACTAATGCAAAGGTGTAGGACATTGGTGATGTCTCAGGTTTCTCTTACTCTCTTCCTAGTGCATATTATAGTCATGATTCTTTAAATTTGTTAAAAGGCTTTTAAAGGCTTTGATCAATATTTCATGTATGCGTGAGGAAGATGTTCTGCAGATGCTTTTCTATATCAGACACCTTTTGCATGGTGGGATGGACATGAATATGTGACAAACCCCTTGTTCACCCTTTAATAGGGAACAATTTAAGGAAGTACACAGTGAGACTGGACTAAAACAGCTCTCTAGAAGTAACAAGCATCAGGATGTCAGCAGATACTCCTACAAATATGATGAAATGCTTACTCCTCTATCATTGTCAAAGTAAAGACTATTTCATGACACCTACAAAAGAGAATCCTAAAACTTTGAGTTTTCTATGACTTGTGCAAGGCAAGTTGTAAAACAAAAACAAAAACAAAACAAAAACCACACACACCTGTACTCAAACACTGAAGAATTTTATTTTCAATCAAGACTACAGAGTTTGGCCCAGTAAGCTATAGGAAAGTAGGAGGAATTGCAGAAGAGCTTGTGAATTCTGTCCAGTAGTGCTGAAATCAACCCTTCTTCAACAGTGAGGAGAAAGCATGTCTAGCAACCAGGGAGATGAGGATTTGAAGGTGGGACTCCTGGGCTCTATTCCAGTCACCAACACAACTTGCATTGGCTTTAGCACATCATGTAACTCCACGGTGAATGCTCTCTCAACAGTAAGATAGACATGTTCTTATCACGTTAAGGTCATGTTCAGCAAGCAGTCAGAAGCCTACACCTACAGAAGCACTCGTTTCAAACTGTTTTTCTTAAAATTACCAAAAAAGTATAGTTCAACTCTTGCAGCTCCAGGTGCTTAACAGGCACAAGCATGGATTTACCGATTGCGCTAAACGACTTCAATCTAGCAACTCCTGACCCTCCTCCCCATTTGCAGGATGCACACTGACATAGGAACACCCACATAGCTGGACAAAGCCATGTCCCGCTCTTTCACTCAGATGGGGATTGCATTTGCTCCTTGATCCAAGGTTCTACCTTCCCCATAAGACAGCACATCTTGACATTTCTCTCAGGAGGGCTGTTGCAAGACTGTGTACAGAGCACTCTACAGTTCTATAACACTTGTCACCAGAGCGCTTTTAAGTGCTATTACAAAACAGCATCTACTATCAGCTGCTTGCTTCCTTCATGTGTGGCACAGTATCTAACCACCCATCGTCATATTTGTCTTTCAGAACACATCTACTATGAGGGACCAGTTACACTGGGAATCAAAGAAATCCCACAGGTAAGTTTGTCACAACTATGCTCCCAAACAGAAGGACTTTCTAGATGGGTTATGGTCAGAAGATTACAAGCAATCACATTAGCATAGTTGAAGCTCTCCCAGCTAGCAGACAGGACCTGATAACATGTACATGATAAACCTTTTTCAATAAGAAATGAAGCACTTTTGATTAAAGCACTAGAGAGTCACCATCATCCAGAGACAGACAGGTTTTCGCAGGACAGTGGACCCCCTCTGCCAGCGCTAAGAGATGTGGCCATTCAGTTCTTTTAGTAGACTGCCCACCATAACTCTTAAACTGGCAACAAACAAAGCAGCTCCTCCAAAGGATTCCTGAGAGACCAGCACTGCAATTCAGTTCACTCCTTAGTGAGCTGAACAATTTGGAGAAGCTTATTCTTCCTCACCAGCTATAGAGACTATTTAGATAACTTTTGCAATTGTACTTCTTCCACTGTAGATATACAGTGTCAGATCTAAAATTAGAGCTCCTCTAAGTTGCCACTGGCAATACAAGTTACAGGGCCTAGGAACATTTTTCTGGACTCATAGAGCCTTAAGAGATGCATTTCTTATAAAGGTGAGAAAGTGCTCTAAGTGCTGCTCATATTGAGTTTCCTGCTTATCTATCAAGGGTGCTCTTTGTGAGCAGCCTTCTCCACATCGAACTAGGTCGCCTTCCTAAACCTCAACCAAATCACATTGCAAAGCAAGACAGGTCCTAAATGCTGAAAGCACCATCGTCTCTCTTAACTGGGCACAACTTGAAGCTATGTTTGACCAGGGAACAATAGAGGGTTTTTAGCCAGATATCTGAAGAGGCCAGATTGAAAAGGAGAAGGCAATATCTGGATCATCAAGGCATCTGGTTGAGAATGTGGGGAAGAAAGGATCAGTCACCAGCATGAAAGCTTGCAGTCCAGGTGGTCATTCAAACACCTTCTTAGATACATTCATACTTAGAAGGACAGCATGGATTCTCAGACCTTCAGCAGCTGATATAAAATCTATGTCACAGCCTCAAAGTCTGGGGCCTGCTCAGGACCAGCTTGATCCAGGCACAGGAAAAGGAGAAGACAGGGCCAGGATGGGGAAAGAGAACGAGGACATAAGTCCCAGAGAGCTGGGCTTGCCGAGACCCGTATCGGTGAGAACAAGGACGGCTGTTTCTTGGAGGATCAAGCCTCTGTAACAACAGCTACCATCTCACACATCTCAGTCTTCCCTTGGTGACAGCAGCAACCACAGCTTCCACTTGCCAAGGCTTTACCTCTGCACTCCCAAGAAAACAGAAAGAAACACTGCAGTGCCAGCAACGCAAAATGCATTCTCCCAGCACATCTCCTTCTCCAAACATCTGAGGAGAGCCATTTTGACTAATAAAAAAAAAAGCCACAGCTACTTTAAGGTTGACGTTTTTGCACTGCAAGGATGTAAATTCTCCCGTAAAAGGAATTACTAGTACTTTTTACTACACAATTTGAAATTAAGCTCCCTCTAGTTTTATTATATAGTAATTCATCACAGATTGAGTCATCTACACACATGCACCCAAAATGTTATCTTTTATAAAAATTTGTATGAATTGGTAACAGCGTACAGAATGAACTACAGAACCAGAATAAGAGAAGTGCCAGACAACCGAGCCCTTCTTCCCTTTCTGATTACTAAACAGCACATGCCATACTGTGGTTGTTCATAAGAAGCATGAGAAACTACACAGATTCAAAAGGAATTTTTATACATCAAAACATTTTGTTCCCTTTGTACTGTTTTAATTTTGAACTTTTTGTGCTGTCAGCATTGATATTCCTGATGAGAGTCTTTTGGCAGAAAATAAGGACAACTCCTTTACCAGTTCTGAAACACATTTGGACCACAAAGATTTTGGAGGGACCTGATGGGAAAAGTATTATTTTGTTACTAGGAGGAAGTCCTCCTCCTAGAAACAGCAGCAGTTATTTACTACTCGTGGCCTAATCTCTTGCTTTGTGTTTGTCTCATGCAGGGAGACTACACTATTTCAGCTGTGCTGACTAATGAAGATCACCTCACTGTCGCTTGTGCTGATTTTACCGTGAAAAATTACTTAGATGATTATTATTAGCAACAAATAAACAATGTGCCAAAACGCATTTCATTAAAGTTACAGATCACCAAAACTGTTCAAGCCAAGCAAGCTACTTGCATGCTACAATGATTCTGAAGGAAATAATTCCCACATGGTGGCTTGTATGCTGTTTCTCCTTATAATTCACTCTTTTCAAGAAGTCAGTAGACCCTCTAGTGGTAATCTTATCTCTAAATGCACACTGTAGCCCACTTCGTGCTTCTAACATATACAGCCACAAATAGCTGTTAATACCAGCATGCTGGTCTCAGGATGATAACAGCACCAGGCAGAACAGGTGAAAGCCTAAACAATTTTTTGCAGTGAGTCATAGAGGCAACCATTTGTAACACAGGCTAAAGATAACTTTCATATGTATTATCTATTGTGCAGTTACAGCACTCAACAGTTTCAATCTTCCTTGAGGATTGCCTGGAGCCTGCATTAGTATAGATTTTGTTTTAGCCACTGAACAAAGACCAAATAGGATGAGTGTACCTTTTTTTCAATTCTCCACGTCCAGTCATTGTATCACTCCAGTCTTCAGGAGTCTACTTGGATTTTTTTTCCCCTTTTTAATGTCTTTTTTTGTGATACATGAATCATTCTGTTTCTAACCCATGTGCTCTACTTGCTTCTCAATAAATTCATAATAAAAGAATACTTTTTCCTTATTTATGTCTAAGACCATTCCAAAACTTAAGGCAAAAAAACAAGCTGGAAAAAAAAAAGATTGAGGAAAATAAGTGAAATGAGTTAGATTCTTGTCCCTCCTCCCCCCCCTTTTTTTTAGCTTGAAACATCAGTTGGGTCAATGCACATTTTATATTAGCAGTGGACAAAGCATTCCTTGCTTTAAGAACAGAGCCCCAAAAGAAGTACACACAGTCACACCTCATGCTCCCCAATGCAGCACATCACCAAAACCTCCCCTTACTCCAGAAGCCTTTGCAGCTGGCATGGCTGATGGGTAGATTACAGATCACGGGGCAGCGCACCAGGTTAGCATCTTGGGTTGCAGACCATGAAACTGGTGACCTGTTTGGAGGACTGGAATTGTAGGTGAAGGATCAGGGTTGGGGTTGGATGCCGATTTGGAGAGAGAGGGGAAGGAAATACAGCCACAGGAAGGTCCTGGAGATGAGTACCAGCTTACAAGGGAACGTAGCAAGTGCAAGGCTACATGCCTTGTCTTGGAGAGGCTCAACACGTATGGCAAGGGCAGCAGGGGCTGTGGCTGCATGAGAGTTCTGGCATGCGGTCTCTGTCCTACACACCCACATACTTGTGGTAAAAAAAAATTCCTGAGCAACAAGAGGATCCCTGCTGCGCAGATGACCAAGACGGCAGAGCAGCCAACAGCTAGCAGGCATGGGATAGTCACTTGTCTCCCACGTGCATGGTGCGGTTCTCACTCATCGTCCCAGCAATGCAGCAATGACAAGCACATCTTTGAGGCCTGGCTCATGTTAGGCAAGCTTACTGCTGTTGAACATGAACCAGCAGGCACCACAAACTGGAACAGAGCACATTTAACATACTGCTGTTTCAGTCCATTTTTACTAAATGCCAATATGGAGAAAAAAAGAAGAAAAAAAAAAAGGCCAGTGGTCTCATCACAGCTGTGGCCACCACTCCCCACATCAGTGTTCAACTATAATGACCTGATGCCGTGTTGGAAACGGTTTATGCAAGTCACCAGAGTTGCTGTGTTTTAAGTGTTCATAACTAAGAAAAGGGTATCACAATCCAGATACAAGCCTGATTATGTCTACTATTTCTCCTCACCTCAGTAGCTCATTAGATTTATCGTTCCCTCTATTATTCTCATAAAATATCAGACAAGCCAGACCTCAAGAAGAATCTAGCAAAAATGCATTTAGTGGTTAACACTCACACAAGAGTCCACTTGCTCAACTCCATTCCATCGCAACCACAGAACAAAAGCATGACTAAAATCCTAATGCCTGCCACTGAGCTGCTTTGTCTGTTATCTGATGAAAGACTTGCCAGATGAAAAATAAACCCAAGGCGGGGAGCAATGCTAGTTTAAACACTTCTACTCAAAATTGATCCCATCATAGCCAAGTTCCTCTTAATCAAATTCAGAAGGTTCCTACACCCTGGAGCACGCTTGGAGAGGCCTGCAGGCCCACAGCAGCATACAAGCCAGTCTTCACTTCCATGTGGTACGGGGGCTCCCCTAGAGCATCTGGAGCAGGGGCTGCTGCAGGGGGTCCCAGCTGACCAAGAAGGGGGAATTTTATCTGAAAAGTGACAGACTTCTGTCACTCAAGATCTTCCATCACTGATCCCTCCCTGCCCGCCTCACACAAACACTTATTACAGAGCCTCATTCCCGGCATCAGCTGAACAGTATTTGGCTTCCTATCACAAACATTGTTTGCTCTTTTTCTGTTGGAATTAGCCTGAAGAACCAGGACTAAATCTTAAATCCACACTTCAAGGATTAAACTGAAGCTTTCATCATAGCAGGACACTTTGTCATACCACAGAGCCATGGAGCTTCCTTGTCTAAACATCATTCAGAGATTAGCAACTCCAGGCCTCAGTTGCTCTCTAAATTAAAAAGAGGCTCTGCCCCTTCAGACTAAGAAATATCTCAGATTTTTCCTTGAGATCCTGTTCCTGATCAGACACTGTTGTGCATGGTCAAGCAACAAAAACAGGTCTCATCTTCCTTGATCCCAGCACAGCTAATAAGTCTCTCGATGGCCCAGAAGGTCTGTGGTATTTAGGCACTATCACACCTGAATTCAAACACATTTGGAAGTTACTGCAGTTGCCTTTCTGAAACAGCCTCGAAAAGCTAAATAAGGGCACTGTAGCAACATCCAGGCTCTGAAAATAGCTCAGCTGTGCAGGGGTGAGAGCAACATCCTCCAGGGGTTTGCGGCCCTAGCGAGGAGGAAGTTGGGTTTTTGTGGAAACAAGGATTTGTGAATTGCCAGCCAGCTCTCCTCAAAGTCAGGAGGATGAGGCACCAGCGGACCTCACAGCCACATGCTGTGCCCAGAGCCCTTTCAGGCAAGGCTGCCTGAATTGGAAACATCTTTATGCTGTTACATTTGCTGTTTTGGAAGGTGATACTCTTTCTATAAAGATCCTAAAACTATAAAATATCTATATATAAAGATCTATAAAACTATAAAGAGATCTATAAAACTATGAAGTTTAAATTTTTCAACCATCTTCTTCTGCACTGTCCAGTGTAGCCCTAAAACAGTCCCAGGCTGGCTCTGTTTTATTCCTCTGCTAGTATTTAGCAGCGTGAGAGAGGGAGTGAGGTGAACAGGACAGCCAAAGTGTGCAATTCCAACAAAAGTCAACAGGAATTTTGTTTCAGCTCTTCTCAGGACAATGGGAAGGAAGGTATGAAAGCATTTCCACACCCATTTTTTTGTGCAAAGGAAAATGAGGAAGGATCTGCCTACAGTATAGACCCCAGTCTTTTTAATTAATTCTTCTAACTAACCTTCCAAGAACTGAGAAAAGCCTCACTGAGATGGACAGGGCAAGAGTCTAGTCCCTAGGAGCTCCCACAGGGCTCAGGCACACAAAATGATCAGCACACTAAAAATAAAATTAATAACCAGTTAAAACAGAGATGAAACAGCTACTGCAATATTTCTGCTATGCTATGCACAGCCTAGTCACAGAGACTTGAGCCACACCTGTCCTTCACAGAGCATCTCGGCAGGCAAAGTTCAAGATTGCCAGACATGAACAGAGTGCCCACCACTCCTCTATGCCAGCGTGGCCCTAGATCTGCGTAAAATTCTGCCCACAAATCCAGCTCTTGCCCATCCAGCATTATGTGTCTGTACCCTGCAGTGACCCAGTTTTCTGTGCAGTAATAGGATGGGACTCTCCTGGAGGACAGTTCTCTGCCAGATGAACGTGACACTTGTCACAGTGTTCAACCACCCTACAACAGGAAATTCTTCCTGGAGCTCAAGTGAGGGAGGCAGTACCTTCCTCAGGTGGTGCGAGAGAGCTGGCTGTGGCAGGTACAAGGATGGAAAGCCACATACAGTCTCCTGGAACAGGCAGAGAAGAGTCCTGCTTGAATTGCTCTACCAGCCTTCCAAATTGCTATGGTTTCCCTCAATACCCACATGTCCAGGGAGGCCTCAAAAATAACTAATCTGGCCTATCTCTGTCTGGATAATGTGGACTGATTTAGAAATAAGAGTCATAAAAAATTGTATTATGAAGAAGCAGTTCTCTACAGAGTTAAACTGACAGGCTTAGTTTCCTGCTGCCTATTCTCTTCCATCACCGCTCCACCTGGTCTCTTCTGTTTTCTTTATACAAAGTTCTGTGGGACAGGTGCTATATATTTTTATGACACTGTCCTAACTCAGCGTTGAAAGCTGTTATATTAACAGATACATTCAGTTTGTCTCCCCAGTTGTCTCACAGCCCTCTCTAGTTCAAACGCATGGGGCACTGGCCTTAAACTGGACCTATTCTCAAGCACTCTGATGTCTACAATCTCCCCAGAGTGCAAAGTTAAAACAAAAAAACAAAAAAAAAAAGGAAGGGACAAAAAAAGAGAAAACAATCAGAGAAAAAAACAAAAGTAAAGCTGCTTTTGTTCTGCTGTTAACATACAAAGTGAAGTACAAAATGTTTGCATAGAAAGATCCCGCTCGTGAGCCCTTAAAGCTTTCTCCTCCCTCTGCCTCCATTACATTGCTGTGTTCTCACACATATTACCTGCTCCCAGAAGCTAAATCATATTTTATTTGCCCAACAACTGAGATGGAATGAGGTGCCACATTCACCAAGGGATGGGTCCTCTGCAGGCACCAACCAATGAGCCTGAAAGGACCAGAGAAGAGCAATGACTGCCAGGAGACTAATTGCCAAACGGGATTCAAGCATCTCCAGATGGGGGAAAGGGGCAAATCCTGGAAAAAAAACAAATAAACAAACAAAACAGACAGAGAAGATGTTCTCAAAGGGCCCAGTCTGAGGTTCAGAAGGATTTCTGCCAGTGGTGCATTTTGCTGCTAAGGGTCACTGAGCTATTCAGCCTGCCAGGCATGAGCTTGCAAAATGGTAAAACATCCCTTGTTGGCCTTGCAATAATGTCTGTACTATCTAGTTATACAATAAGCCTTAGGTTGTTTTCCTAAACCAGGCTGCAGCTGGCAAAGGAAAAATAAGCTACTGTTGTCTTGCACTACAGTGAAACAACCTCACACATACTTTCCTTCTCCCTCCTGCTATCTGCCTTCTTCCACTCAGCTGCACAGAGGCTACTGATGCCATCAGTGCAAGAGCACAGTGCTCCCAGGCTGTGCAGGGAACAGTTTAAAAGAGGTTCAAACTCCAGCTGCTTTGATCAAGAGAGCGGCTCCAACCAGAGCCAAAATAAATATTTACCAATAATCCCGTGCCCTCTGTTTGCTTGTGTGGCTCTCCTTTTATTAGCTTTCCTATAGTAAGTTTTACAGCTGGGGTTAGCAGAGCGATAATACGAACGGATTATTCTTCACTGTGCTGATTTGCTTCTCCCCAGTGTGACACAGCTTTGCCTTGAAAAATAGATCCTTTAATCTAGGATGCTCCCTTGCCCCTTGCAACGCCTCACCTCTTTTTACCACCTTAAAACATCAGTTAGAAAAACAA